TTCCCTATGTACCCCAGGTCAGTCTTGCCTCACAATCCTCTTGCTTCAGCCTCTTGATGCCAGAATTATAGATGTGTGCCACTGGGCCTGTCAGTTTTCACATATTTTCCGTGTGTTACAAATTACAGTTATTTTGTTTTTATTTACTTTTTTTCCTAGTCATTTAAAAATGTAAAGACTGTTCTCGGGTCACAGGTCCACACTCCCTATAGGTCACGGCAGCAGGCTGACTTGGGCTGTGGCCTGCAGCCCAGTGCCTCCCAGGGACGCGGTCAGATTCCTAGGGAGCTGTGGGCTGAGACAGAGCCAGGCCCCACCCACCCTCCACTGGCCCTCTTAGTCTTCAGTACTCCCCAGAGCCCTGGCACACGCTGCCACACCAGGCTTCTCTCTTGGGCCAGGGTGAGGAAGCCCGAGTCCCCTGTCTGGCAAGGCAAGCACCCCTCCAGAGCAGGCTCTGTGGAGCACAGCTGGGGGACTCTGCTCCGGCCGATGCCCGGGTAAGGCAAGGACACTGCGCCTGGGCTGTCTGGCCAGTCCCGCCGGGGCACCAGGCTCGCGTGCCCTAGAGCCCACTTCAGGCGTGGAAACACTCCCACCATTCCTGGCACTCGGGGACCCTTAGCCCCTGGCTGCTGTCTCACCAGGAATAGGGCATCCTGTGGAGATGTTCTGACAGCAGGAGACTGGCTTGCCCAGCACGTTAATGATGTATCTACATGCAGGTTTCCTGCAGCACCTCTGAGTCACTTTTGTCTTCGATCTTTACACCTGTCCTCTGGGGGAGGGAGGACAGAGGCGAGGGTACTGAGGATTGAACTTGGGACTGAATTGCATTCCCAGCCCCTTCACAATTTTTAAATTTTACTTTGACAGGGTCTCACTGAGTTGCCCCAGCTGGCCTCAAACTTATGACCCTCTTGCCTTAGCCTCCCAAGGAGCTGGAGCTGGGCTTCAGATTTTTTTTTTTAATTTTACTTTTATAAAAGTGGAAACTGCCTCTCGAGGAAGCTAGGAGTCTTGGCTCCAATCACCCAGGCAGTGCTGGAGCCTGACCTCAGATGCAGGTCTTGCCTCACCTCGGGAACTTCTCTGTGCCGTGCCTGTGGTCTGAAAGTGAAGGGTGACTAGGACAGAAGGAATTCTCTGGGCAGGCATGACCAATCTCCCTCTCTCCTCTGCCCCTCCCCACCCCTTATATACAGACCTCCCAGAACCCTGGGAGGGTCCACTCGGGACCAGGGAGCGGTGAGGGGCTGCCCGCTTTCCCTTCCCCAGGAACAACCAGCTCCCTGCAGACAGCCGGGCCTGAGGTGAGCAGTGAGGGGTTCCCGCACCTTTTCCCTGGAAAGACTGTGCCTTGCTTGGGGCCTGGGGTCCGGGGGGTGAAGGCCCACATGCTGAGTGCTCAGCGTCAGGTGAGGAGCTGCTTTCTCTAGTTTAGCCCCAGGGAGACATTAGGCGGGATGGAGGAGGCCGGGATTGTGAGAACAGAAATGAACTTTCAGCCCGGAGCGTTTGAAAGCACAGGGTGGGAACATGTCGACGGGGCGCTGGAGCTCAGAGCACGCGGACCCGGGTCCAGGACCCCCTTCCTCATCCTGGGGCCGGCAGTCACCCAGAGCCAGGGCTCCTGTGGTCTTTCTGTCCCTGTGGGGCAGGTGACAGTCACTCCTGGTGTGAGAAGAGTGCCTGGAGCAGGACAGATCTTCAGCAGGTGTGGAAAGAAAGGAGGAAGGGAGGGAGGGAGGAAGGGGAGAGAGACGCGCGGGGGAGCAAACAGGAAAGAAGCAAAGCAGGGGCACGGAAGAAGGCCCTGGGAGGACGTCTTCGTGCAGAGGATAGATAGGTGGTGATAAACAGCCGAGTTCCTCCGCTGGGGGGCGCTTCGCCCTCACTCCCAATGGGCTCTCCAGAGAAAGTTTTAAAGGTGATGCTTGCGGCGCTCTGAGCCCTCCCTCTGGTTCAGATCTTCTCAAAGTCGATGCCTGGAGCTGAGTGAGTCTGTCTCTGAGGCGGCAGAGCGACTGTGAGGCCCGGCCCCGCCTTCTGCGGCCGTCCCCGTGGGCCAGGACGAGCCCCGCAGCTCCCTGACGAGGGGGACCCAGGCCTGGCCAAGGCCGGGGGAGGAAGACCTGGGGTCGCCGCCTCTCCTGAGGCTGGGCTTGCCTGGTGTGCTCTTGAGAACCCCCGTTCTCCCCTCTTCCTGGCTGCATTCGACAAGCAGGTGGAAGCGAGAGAGAACTGACTGACGGAGGAGGAGGGATGTGTGGGCCCCGCGGGCTTGGTGGGGAGGGCGAGACCGCGGGTACAAGGCACAGGGGCGCAGAGCTCCTAGCCCAGCGGCGCACCCCGGCAAGGCCACAGGCTTGCAGCCATCTAGCCTGCGGATCCCTCCCGTCACCTCAGTCTATTTTCTGTTGCTCTGAGGGAATGTCTGAGCGGGGTAACTTACAGAGAAGAGATGCTTATTGGCTCACATTTCGGAAGGCTGGCGAGTTCAAGATCGGTGGCCACGTCTGCTAAGGTCCTTGTAGGGGGACTGCAGAGGCCCCACGGTGGAGAGGGGCCTCCTTTGGTGACGGGGTGCTTTTATGATAGACCCGCTTTCCAGATAAAGCACGAATCAATCTGTAGATCCATGAATTGATTAATCCCCTCCCGGGGATTCAGGGCATAATCACCTCTTAAAAGTCCTGCCTGGTCCCACCTCTTAGTTTGTCACAGTGTGGTCAGATTCCATGCGAGGGCCGCGGGGACCCGTCATACCTCAGCACCACGCTAGACCGAGCAGCAGAGCTTTATTCTGGGGTGCACATCTCCTGGTCAGCGGCCTCCCTTTCCCTCAGCCCTTCCTCTGCTACAGATGAACTCTTGGCTCCCTCGCCTCCGTCTGATCCTGCTTCTCTGGAGCCAGCTACCTGTGCTCTGGGGCCACGAGTTCCGCTTTGGGCCCTGCCGAGTGGAGGGAGTGGCTCTCCCGGGCCTGTGGGAGGCCTTCCGGACTGTGAAGGATGCTGTGGTGAGCGGCGTGGATCTGTACCCGGAAATGGGGGAGCTCCCTCCAAGTTGGGCCTGGACCTTGTGATTGGGAAGCCGGGCAACTTGCCCAGGGCTTTCCTGCAGAAGAGCCACACGAGGTCGGGAGCCCTCACAGCCTTGTGTAACACAGGAGGCTCAGATACACGTTATCAGCCCCTGATAAAATATAGAGCCCAAGGGGAAGGGAGGAGGCTCCACTTGTCCAGGCTCCACGTGGGGTTGGGCTGCCGAGGGAACTCCAGGCACAGCCCTCCGCCTCCTGTCCCCTCCTCCTCAGCAGGACCTGGTCCTGGGGGGTTGGTTTCCTCAAATGAGCAGAGGAATCAGAAGGGCCCACAGAACTCCCGCCTGGGACAAGCGAGTGGTTGTCATAGTTGCCCATTTCCCCAGCACCAGCTCCCCGTGGCCCCGCCTGGGTCTTCCTTCAGTCTCACACGGGAAGATTCATTTGCAGGGCTGACTCCCGTGTGGACCCCTCCCCTGAAGACATCTTTTCTCTGTTCCCAAAGCAAGTGCAGGACAACAACACGAGTATCCGGCTGCTGCGGTGCGAGGTCCTGCAGAACGTCTCGGTAATCAGGTGCTGGGAAGGGCCACCTCCCTCTGTCAGGACAGGGCCGGGCGTGAGCCAGGACACTTGTACCTGGGCTGGTGGGGAGGAGTGGGACTGAGGCTTGTACACATCTTTCCCCGGGCCAGACACCGGCCATCGACCTTTATTTTTCTTTACTGTATAAACACAATGGACATCTACTCGGTGAGTCTTGTCTGCTGGACCCTTGTCTCTTGTCCATTGCTGTCTTCATTTCCCACTGACTCAGTCAGTGAACACAGATGTACTGAGAGGTACCAAGCCTCAGGAAGGGGTAGGGTGCGATCGCTGCATTCCAGGACATTGATTTTCTCTTTTCTTCTCTTCCCTGTCATCAACCGCAAAGGCCAGGTTCAGGGCCCTCTCCTCCACACTCTGGAGAGGCTGTGTGGTGGGGAGAAAGGGCATGAGCCAGCTTGGGAGCCGGGAGTGCGGAGCTGGGCTCGTGCCTGCCGGTGACGACCATGTGACCTTTGGCAGTCACCTCTTCTGTGGTCTGGCTCCCTCCTGTGTGAGAGCAGGTGCTCTGTGAGGCCCACTCCAAGCCCACACTGGCCCTCGCCCACCAGAAGCCCTGCCCTGCTCTGCCGCACCCGCCTCAGATGGGGTGTGGGTGTCCCTCAGAGCTGGGCGAGCAGGGCCCCAGCTGTGCATTGACCCGGGGCCTCTCCCCAGGACTCTGAGAGCTGCCACCTCGTCCACGACCTGCTGAAGTTCTACCTGAACACTGTGTTTAAACACTACTACCCCAAAATTGCCGAATCCAACACGCAGCCCTCCTTCTCTACCCTGGCCAACAACTTTGTTTTCATCGTGTCAAAACTTCAATCCAGTGTGAGCAGAAGAAAGCCAGGCTCAGGAGCTTGGGAAATGGTGTGCTTGGGGAATCTTCTCCTTGCCTCATGCTGTCCTGGCTTTAATTCTACAACAGGGAACTGTGGGTGTCATGGAAGTGGGTTCTGGGTTCGGGTCTAGGTTTGCAGCTTTCTCATCTGCTGGGTGACATTTTGCAAGGTGCTCAGACTGTTTTATCATCTGTACAATGGAGGTGATGCTCCCACCTGGCAGGGCGGCCCAGGTTATTTTGAGGACATGGCGTCACCTCTGATCTCTTGGGCATGGGAGCCCCTGTGGCATCACCAGGAGAGGAGCATGAGGGAGTTTGCTGCTAACCCCGCCTAGCTCTGGCACAGCTGTGTTTTATTTTTCTGTCTTCTAGCAGGCGGGTGAGATGCCCCCTGACAAAGACAGAGCGCGCAGGCGGTTCCTGCTGTTCAAGAGGGCGTTCAAACAGGTAAGTCAGTCTGGCTGGGCTGGGCCAGCTTGGGCTGAGCCTCGGCAGGGCTTTCTGGGACTCCACCGCCCTGGCCGGGCACAGACACAGTCAGCAGATGCTTTGCCTACGCTTTGCAAGTGGCCTTTCTCTGCTAGTTTTCAAGTTAAAATGCTCTCTATAAAAGTGTGAGGTTTTAGGACCTTTTCCTAAAGTAAGCCCCCAAGAAATCCCAGCTCTCATTCCCAGCACTGCTAGCCCTGTATAAACCAATGTACAACTCTGATCGCACACGGGGGAGAAGGCACACCGGCCTGCAGGCACGCGGGTCTGAGCTGAGGCACGACCGGAGAGGCCAGCAGGTGCGGGGCGGACTCCGTGCAGGGCCGCAGGGCTGTGTTCTGTGGTTCCTGGTGTCCGTGGAGCCGTGTGCTTTTCCCTGCTCCTTTCTTGCTGCTGCTCAGCGGCCTCTTTGTCCTCCTCTGAGCGGAGACACGCATGGACAGGGACAAGCAATGGGCAGGTGAGCAAATCAGAGCCATGGCTGAAGCCTGGGAAGAAAGAAAACTACTCTTTTTCTCCTTCTCCTTCTCCTTCTCCTTCTCCTCCTCCTCCTCCTCCTTGTCCTCCTCCTCCTCCTTCTTCTTTTTCTTTCTTCCTCTTCCACTTCTGTCTTCTTCCTCTTCTTCTGTCTTCTTCATCTTCTTCTTCCTCTCATTCTCCTCCTCCTCCTCCTTTTTGTTTTTTGTTTTTTGATATAGAGGCTTAGTATATGGTTCAGGCTGGCCTTGAACTCACTTTGAGGCCCAGGATGACCTTGAACTTGAGGCGACCCTCCTGCCTCAGCCTCCCGAGTGCCCAGATCATAGGTGTGCACCACTAGTTTCTCACCTAATGGATCTCTAACTCTCGTTTGCCCGTAGCTGGAGATCCAAGCGGCTCTGACCAAAGCCTTTGGGGAAGTGGACATTCTCCTCACCTGGATGGGGAAATTCTACCAGCTGTGAATGTCCAGACCTTGCTCTCTGTGCCACTCAAGTGTGTGTGCCTTCCTGGCTGCTCTTGGGACCCTGGCTGGCCAGGTCTTCTTCAGACCCCATCTCCTGCAGCCCAAATGGCCATCATGCAAGGCTCCACTAGATACTGTGAATAATCTATGAACCTAATTGCTATATTTATTGTGACCCTATTTAACCACTGCCATTACTGTAACTGAAGTTTTATTTATTTGTGAGTCTGTAAGTGCCATAAAGGCACCAGAATATACTGTTCCATGTTTCCCCACTGCTGCCATCGTGTGGGGCAGTGGATGGTGCAGTAAACACTTAATAAACCACAGCTCTGGGTCTGTCTTTGGATTGAGGAGAGGAATGCGGAGAACCGGGGTAGGAAAGGGAGCATGGGGCATGGGAATCACTCATCTGCAGGCACAGAGGTCTGGGGTAGAACGAGGGACATCAGTTTTGGGAAGTAAAGACAAAGGCCATGTGTAAAGTGCCCGGCTCCCTTTCAGTCTGCCCCTTTTCCGTTTTCTTGGGTGCCCTCCTTGCTGCCTGCAATGGTAGCAGGGCCCAGCTGGTACTGTGAGGTCAGGGCACCTGGCCGGACCATTGCTCCGTGTGACAGTCCTTGCTGATAGAAGGCAGCCCCGTTCAGTCCTGGAGGCATTGCCTTTCCACTTCTGGACCAGGGCCTGGGAGGCTGTGCTGCTCCTCTGGGAAAGGTCTTTCCAGGGGCGGGAGTCGGCATCTGTAACCTCAAGCTCCGGCTGCACTGTGCAGTGGCCGTGGATCCCACAACAGTGTCTAACTGCGACCTTGCTTCAAGAGCATGAGAGAAAAGCACACGGAGGTGGTGGGGACCTCTTCTCCACCACGGGAGTGCTAGTGCAGAGGCCCTGACCCCAGGAACCGGGCTGCTTTCCTCCCCCGCCTTTCTATATCTTCTCTGGAGCCGGCAAAGAGAAGGGGTGCATTTCCGGAAGCAGAGAGAAGTGGCGGTTCGGGATGGCTAAAACTGACCAAAGATAAATGTGCCAGCATCCGTGCTTAGACTGGAAGAAGGGTAAGGAGACGACGAAGGCTGTGTCTAAAGAGGGGGTTGCTGGGGCCAGGGATGCGTCCACAGCACGAGAGGAGACTAAAGGTGTCTTCGTGCACACCCATTTACACCTTTATGTTTGTGCCGTGGACACTAACAAGCCCGGCTTTGCAAATGTAGACTGCGTCACCACATCAAAATAAACCGCCTTTAGCACACAGGGCTCGAGACAGGTACGTGGACGCTTACTAGTAAGCCAGCCTTCCCATGAGGGTGGAGATGTTCCTGGGGTGCTCTTCTCCCAGGGGCAGAGGCATCTCCTCCTGTGCCCCGCTGCAGCCTCCTGTTTTCGAGAGGCCAAGCCTGGGAAGGGAAGCTGCTGCCGCACCCCCAGCCTGAGGTCACACGATCTAAAGCCAAGGCAGCAAAGACCCCATGCCCCAAGTCCCCGCGGATCCCACGGCCTGGTAAACAGCTGAGAAGAAGCAGGAGGCACCGAGACAAGCGCTCTGCCTGCCTGGAGCCTCCATGATGAACAGAGGGCTGTGGGTGTGTGGGAGGAGGTGAGCACAGCAAAGCCGTGTCCAGAGCAGGACAGGCCTGTGTGAGCGCCGAGATGTGGCAGGGGATACGGGAGGCCACGAGGTCTCGGCTAAGATGTGGCAGACAGACAGGACTCATGGACATCATGGTCTGGGCCCCAGAGGGCAGTGCGGAAGGGAAGTCAGGCTGGGGATGTTGATGTAGTCATCGGAATCGGCGCCTGCCCTCCTGGCAGCAGGCTGGTGGCAGATGGCCACATATTCACAGCTGGAGTTCAGCGATGGGGCCGGAAGCCAAGGAGTGTCAGGCACCTGGGGACACAAAGAAGCCCGAGGATCTGGGTGTGGCCTTTGCCTTCCTTCAGGTGCCCTTCTCCAGCGGGCGCAGGCGCTAGCCTGGGCACAGTCTCTGAGACCCAGAAGGCCAAGGCCAAGGTGGGCCTGCCCTGGGGGTTTGCAGGGTGATGCCTCGCCCCAGATGACGGGAAAGCCCTCTGTTACAGTGTGGGCAGGAAATGCCTCACGCGGGGCTCAGACGAAGCACAGGTGTGAGGGGACCCCGTTACACAGGAGTGGCCCCTGGGGCGAGACGCCGTGACTTGTGGGGTAACGATGCATCTTTCAAGGGAGGCATCTGGAGGCAGGCGGAGTCACCCAGACCTGCATTCCAGAAAGGGCTTGGCAGCGAGAGCAGGGAGATTGCTGGCCCACTGGGCCCTGAGGAGCCTCTCTTCTTTGGACAGACACTTCCTGATCATCTCTCAGCTCTGTCACAGCGCTGTGCCAAGCACAACCACTGCAGTATCTGGGGAAAGGCAAAGTAGGGACTCTAATTGCACATGTATCTATTTGTGCTTTTTGGAGGTAGGGTCTCACTACGTAGCCTGGGCTGGTCTTGAACTCACTATCTCCTTGCCTCAGCCTCCTGAAAGCTAGGGTTACAGGCTTGTGCCACCCCACTACATCTTGAGCCTATTTTTTACTTTTCATGTCGAGAGAGGGTCCTGCTAAGTTGTTCATTTGCCCTGGCTGAGCTCAAACTTGTGATCTTCCTTCCTCAGCTTCCCAGAGTGCTGAGATTTCAGGTGTGCGCCATGGCGCCTGGCTCCTGATCAGGTTTTAAACACTAAGAACCAGAAGTGCAGGGCCCTAACCCAGGAGGCACTCAGGACGTGCTCACTGAAGGTGACTTTTTTGTTTCCAACTTTACCAAAGATGGAAGCATTGCAGGTGGGTTCAAAAATGTATCTCTCACTGACTGATCGTGCAGCTCATCACTTAAGGTTAATGTACTTGGCTTACAAAATGGAAACACTCCCTTTGAAGGTTAACTGGCCATTAAGCATTTGTACACCTCGCTGTAAATGCATTGGAGATTTTTGCTCTGGTGGTGGTGGGAATGGGGTCTCGCGTGGGGAGGGGCACTGAGCTAGAGCAGCGCTGTGGGTTGGGGAGAGGAGGGGGTTCCAGGGGAAGGCCCTGGGGACCCCTTGGAGAACGCGGCCTGCGGGAGAGGCGAGCTCCCAGCTGCCCTAGGGATGAACTAGGCCAAGGGGCTGCCAAGACCTGGACGCAGAAACTTCGTCTTTCTTCCTCCCCAGGACCGTGATGTGGGCTTGGTGCTGGGGACTGAGTAACGATTACTGAGTACTGACCACAGGCTGAGCAAGACTGGGGGGGTCCGCTGGCCCGGGGCTCGGGTCCTCCTGCCCCTCTGCTCAGACCCAAACGCAGCTGGCTCAGTCCTTGCTCCAGGACATAGATGCGGGCGGAGTTAGTGCCCCCCACGAGCAGAGGGTCCCTCTTCTGATGTGGAAACCCTCGCCTGCGCACGCCGGGGCTCCCTGTGCACCCCGCTTCGCTCTCCTTCCCTCGCAGCTCTGCTGTGCCCCTCTGACCTCGGCAGGGCGAGCCCCCTCCGGAGCCAAAGGCGCGCCTTGCAGCCCCATCCCTCGAGAGCTCCCTGGAATCCAACCTCGTCCCGGGAATCTCGGGTGTGGGGTTACCTTCCATCACCCCCTCCCAGCACCACACGCAGCACCCACCGACCCCGGGAAAGGGAACCTGGCCACCTCCCCTGGCACAGGCTCCGGGTGACCCAGGGCGG